AAAAATCTGGGGAAAGAGGACTTGGACAAGTTTCACATCTGAGTCACTGATGGGTGAGAAAAAGAATAATGAACAAAACTTAAACCTTTAAATCTCTGTATTTGTAATTAGTATGTTTTCTGCTTCAATTCACTGTCTGTGTTTGTTCCCCGAGTTTGTGCACTTGATTTGCTGTGCAAAGGAACCACGTCAAGGGAATAATTACAGGATCTTTTCAATTCTTTTCTCATAGATTCAGAAAATACCAAGTGACAGCCTGAAATCTTACTCTGGAGGTGCTGGATATCCAGCTGTCTCCTTGGGCTCCATTTTAATTTTTCTGGAAGCTTTGTCCTAACTAAACTCACACACTACTGACAGTGTGTGTTTCACTTGATACACTCCTGCTTATTGCACTATCCCAGGGAATTCCATGCTCTGGAGTTGTCTGGGATAATCTTCCAGGAAATTTGTGCCTTCCTATCACTCCTGCCAGGAAGTAGGTTTTCTGATTAAAGAATTTAGCATATCTATTCTATACGAAATTTTATTTAATTTTCTTCCTTGCATGGTTGCATGGCTGGCATCTGTGCCTTCAGACTGTAGTGAACTCAAGAGGAGTAACAGCCTTCCACAAATTCTGTTCAGCACTAGCTTTTTGTTCAAGCAGCAGTTAGTTCAGGTTTAAAGCACCTCCTGAGGGCTCTTTGCTACCTGTAACGTCGCTACAAGAACTCGCCTAGAGGAGGCGTAGCTGAAATGAAGCTGCGCTGGGACAGCATCTGCCTTCAGAACCCCCCAGCTTTTTGATGAGCATCTTTGGCTGTGACTGGTGACTGTTGCACAGTCACGATTGGAGGGTCTCTCTTCCTAATTACAGCCCTATAAGACCTGTACGTATTGATATATTGTGAGTTGTTCCTGCTAGGATTCCTCAAAATAGGGAAATGGAAGCAAAACGGACGATACTGTGGGATTAGAACCTCTCTGAGGGAACTGTAATATATGTGATCCAGAATATATTGTTTCAAGGTAATTGTAATTTTCCATTCCTATAGCAAAGAGCCTTTGGTGGCTTCCTGAAATACCAGTTTCTTCAGAGAGTCTTCTCACACTGGTGATTTGAAAGCTGTTATTTCTAGTAATGGTAGAGTTGAAGTATTCACATCTTGTGCTGCTGGTATCACTGCACATTACAGGGTGATGATCCAGAGGATACACCCTGGAACTTCACATGTCAAGCTGGAGAAAATCAATCTCTGTTAATAAAAGAAGGCAGGCTCAGTGGCGCAGAAAATCACTACTCTGGAGCCCTAAAGAGATTCCTTCAAAAATTCATTATTATAGAATGGAATCCTGGGCTACATTATAGTCCTGAAAGACATCAGGATATGGACGGGAAAAAAATCCAATTTTCATTAGGTGGAGAAAATAAAGAATAAATCCCATAAGCAGACAAAGTAATTGATCACATGGAACGTAATTATAGGCTCAACGTGTAAGAACATTTTCCAGGTTTCCCAAGTACCAAATTCTTTTCCCAAATACTTTTCAAAGTTAATGTTTATTTTCTTGTTATTTCTTCATGCCCCTAGTGCTAGATCCATCTGAAGAAAAATTTTTTATTGTTCTGGCCAACTGCTGTAGGGTTCCTGCAGGACATTCCACCTGTGGTGATACACAGACATTGAGCAGACAAAAGGAGACAAAAGAGTTACTACTTTGCCAAGTATCCAATATCCTTGTTGATGGTCTGCAAGATGCAAATGTCAATATGCAACAAATAGCAGAGAGCAAATATGCCCTCTGTATGTGCCCTGTGCTCACAGCCATCCTGGTGACAGGCTTCTGTAATATGACAGAAACTTGAAGACACTAAATGCCTTTCTTTAAAGCAGATTGCCTATTTCTAATTATTATTATTTTCTGTTTCTATTTATTATTATTTTCCTGTTTATGCAGGAATTCCTCAATTCCTGCATCACAATCATTTGGGGACCAGAATAATTAATACTCTATCCTGCAGTGTAGGTGGGTGTGATGGCTGATAATTTGGATGGTCCTTGGCTCGAAACAGCTTTTACACAGTCACAACAGGAAGAATTCCAGCTTCATTTTTACAGTATTTTAGCTTTCAGCCTTGGCAGACCTGTAAGGCACTATTTGTATGGAAGAGAGTGGATTGTTTTAGATGTAATCTAGTCAGCTGCCTGGAAATACAGCCACTTAAGTGTATGCTTTGAGGCCTTTTTACTATATTATCATACACCAAATTATTCCTTATTTTAATATTCTTTTCACATATTAAATGTAGTTTCTGGTCACGAAGGAGCATTTCAGTGGTTCAGCTGATTAGCTCAAAACGAAGAAGCTCCTAACAATTAATTTTCTTGCTTACTTAAAGCATGGCTGAGTCACAACTGCAGTGAATCCAGTATTTCTTTAACTTGTATTCATTCATTCATTCATTCATTCATTCATTCATGTGTATGTGTGAGGGCCTTGGGTGAATGCAATTTACTGTCATCACCCCTGACTTCTGGGGTAAACTGAGGTGGAAATACTATTTCACACAAATATCTAGAGCAGCTGAGAGACAGGAAAAATCTCATCTTAGAATTCAACACATTTATATTTATAAAATGTCAATAGGATAGACTATAGGAGCTGGCAAAGCTGTTTTAACTGGGGAGCTCTCCCAACTTTAACTTACACTTCTGCAGTAAAGTATTAGAGATTTCGCCAGCACAGATAACATATTGGCCATTTTGCACTTGCTGGTCTGCACTCTGTTTTGAACTGATGTGCTCTTAGTAGCCCTATCCATACCCAGTTGGGTTGGCACATGGACTTGCCAAGCTCAGAAAAGTACGTTTAATTGTCATACGTCCAAATCAGGAGCCCATTCCTCATTCAGAGCTTGTCTCTGCAGTTCTCCTCAGCTCTTTTTTTTTTAATGAGCAGAAAAGACACACACTGGATTAAACTAAAGGTAAGTGATGGGTGGCAAAACACACTTGTAAAAGGTAAGCAGCTGCTTGGTATTCAGGAGCAAGCAGAGCACTTCAGCTTCTGCAAACAGCTCCTGTTATTTGGTGAGGCTCCTTTCCCAGCAGGCAGCACCTTTCTGAAGCTGCAGCCATAGAGGAGTTGGGCAGATGTCAGTCAAGACTAAGGAGCAGGGTTCTGAGCCAAGCCACTCAGGTGAATGAGGTGGTCTGCTTCAGTGCTGGAAAAATTGGGAGGGAATTTAGCATGGTAACTGAGCATGTTATAGAGAGGTGTATCTGTTTCTGTGCTTCACTGTTGGTCAAGAAAAAACCCCCTCCATGGCAGTTCTTGTGGAACAGCGAGATGCTCCTGGGGTGGCTGCTGTGCTGGGGTGGCTGCTGTGCTGGGATGCACCATCAGGCTCCAAACTGACAGAAGCACAGAGCTTCACCATGGCTTGTTACCACATGCCTCACAAGTCTTCTAGTGTCTGTCTTTCTGTCTCCCCACTGTTTCTGTCGCTCTGTTTCAAGGGACTCTGTGAGCTGTTGGCTCATAGTGCAGTTAACTTGCCTCCTCAGAGAGCCAGAGTAAATGTTATGGCTCTGTTTGCAGTCTGACCCTCTGCAGCTGTGTACAAGCAGGCCTTTTGTATCCAAAACAGCTCCAAATTACTGTACATAAACCATAATCTTCCGGTGGGAGCACTGTAGTTTTCCATTTTGCTGCTAATTGGATGATGCACTTGCAATAGTCATTGTTAACATGGCTAGTGCTGGGCAGGGAACAGCAAGAGGCAGCTTTTCTTTAGAAATCTTGCAAAAACGCAGTGACTGTCTCCATTTGACAGCAATTGAAACCAATCATCAATTAACTAAATAACAGCCAATTAGCTTGAAGGAAAAAGTAGGAAGTTGCTTACTTCACCCTCTTTGTTGAAGCAAATGCCAGTTGGAGGATGGAAGGGTTTTTTCTTTCTCCTATGAAATGACAAAATGGCAAAAGAGGTGCATAAAATGCACTATGGTGTTTTTTTAAAATACTATGTTTTTCTCACACAAGAATTGTGTTAAGAAACTAGGTAAGGACACTTAAAGCTTCTGAGACATTTAATTAGGTCTAATTTTTAACACTTTTAGTGTTAGAAAAACCTCAAGCAGCCAGAGGCATTAAGAAGCAGCTGAATGGTGCTGTCAGGACTGGCATTTTGGTCTTAGGTTCCTCCAAGGCCCGTGTTTCATGTCTGGAGCTTTTTTCTGATCTGGACAGTGCCACAGGTATTGATGGAGGCAAGACTATGGCAGAGTGAAAGCCAGTCACAGCATGGGCAAGAAATTCTCTCTCCCACATTATTGCTCTTTAGTTTACCTTCCCCAAAACAGCAATGCGATTATAGATGAGGACTAAAACTTGATTCTATGGGCTTTCATCTGTGTCTGACTCTCACCAGTCCCAGAGCAGAGGCCAATGTCTGCCTGGGTCTCTGACTGCCAGGCTGTCAGAGGGTGATGGGCTGGGCAGAGAAAGAGATCAGACCGAAGAGGCAGCTGCTACCAACTAACTTAATATTGCTGGGTTAGTAAGAGACAACCATTTACTCCTGGCATCCTGGCTTTGAATTTTGATTGTGCTTTCCTCAGAAGCAGTTGAGGCCACTGCACAAAGGCATGACGTGGCCTCGCTTCTAACTGGTGGGGCTGGACCACAGCTGGTCCCGGGAGGCTGACATCAGGGCTGCATCTTCCTAATGGCCATTAGTTGCATCAATCAATAGTTCTTCACTTAGACTTTTTACTCGTCGTTCAAAAAGGTTTCATTATGCTACTTGGAGCTACTCACGGTGTCATTTCATGGGGTTCAAATTGTATTACTTGTTTGTTAATGCTTTTAGGGCCTGTGCTTCATAATTGGATGGTGGATGGTGAGAGGTATGTCTTTTAACCATTGGGAAAGCAATTAATATTGGATGGTTTTCCTTCAACTGATGTGAGATTCAGCACTGCACATATTGATCTCTTGCTTTCTTACAGGAACATTTTACACCTGAATGCAAGTTTAAAGAATCAGTATTTGAAAACTACTATGTGACATATTCTTCAATGATCTACAGACAGCAACACTCCGGGCGGGGCTGGTACTTGGGTCTTAACAAAGAAGGAGAAATAATGAAAGGAAACCATGTGAAGAAAAATAAACCTGCAGCACACTTTCTTCCAAAACCATTAAAAGGTAATTACTTGGGGTTAGTTCATCTATCTGAATTTACATGATCTTATGTCAGAGGTGTTTAATTGCTGTGCATACATATTTGAAAGCTTCAGTTACTTTTTTGACAGGAGGAGTTTGAAGTTCTGTAACACACTTAATGTAGTCAGAGCTGCTTTTTTTAAAAGGTTTCCCTATGTTACCTCTGCATTTTTTTAATCTAACCAAATACACATATTAATGTATTTGTGCCCAAAGTCCACAGTGTCTCTGTTATAGATAAGAAAGGCTGTACCTGAAGTGGATCACACATCTGCTCACAGGCCATCAGTGATTTGCTGTGTAGCTTATCACTCTTTGTGGCAGGATGTTTGTCTGGTTTTGCCCAAGATAAAACTCTAATGCGGGGTGCTTAGTGATGCTCAATTAATGTGGCATCAGTATGTGACATTAAAGGTAATAATGCACATGGCAAATGTATACTGCTGTTTATTTAAAGTCAGGACCTGGAGTCATCCCCATTAACTGAAGCATCTGAGTCAGGATTGTGGTCAGACTTGGCTCCCTCTTTGGTCCACACAAAGAGGGTCATCTCAGTCTATATAGATGTTCTCCTTTTCTCCAGAAGAACCAGCTTCCATATGCCTTTCCTTAAGAGGAATGAAGCCCTCTGCTTCTGGGTTATACTCTTATCAGTAACCTTTCAGGGCCATGTCACTTTGAAATCAGAGGGTGCATCTCAAAGGTGCACAACCTTGGGTGCATGCTGGACTGGTTTGCCGGTCCATATTTATGACTGGGTTTTAAGTAACTGATGTTGAGGTTCATCCTGGCTTTTAAACAAAGCAAAGACTGAAAACCTGTTTTTGCACTCATATGCTTAGGCTGAGTGTACAAGTAACAGGTCAAGTCGTAGTTGTCAACAGTGCCATTGCACCACTAGTAAGGAAATGTTGATTTATATCAGCTTAGGTTTATCTTACAGAGTTTTGTAAGTGCAGGGGGCTGCTGGGTGGTGGGAGAGAGCTGTGGTTTTTCCCTTCTCTAAAATGCCATTCCCTAGAAGAGGAGATCAGAGGTTCTTACAGAGGGTTTGAAACGGAGGTCTCCTTGCCGTGTCTCTTTCATTCACACCTTACATTTCACCTTGCTGAATGAATCTCAAGGTTTTGCAGCCAGACTTTGCACCAGCAGCCTGAGTAGCTCGTACCACATGCTGACATGCTGCCTTTCTTTTGTTTGCAGTGGCCATGTACAAAGAGCCTTCCCTCCACGATCTCACAGAGTTCTCAAGATCTGGAAGTGGGACCCCAACAAAGAGCAGAAGTGTCTCAGGAGTGCTAAATGGGGGTAAATCCATGAGCCAAAACGAGTCAACGTAGCCAGGTTCAGGCCAGCCAAGTGCTCTCTAAACAGAACCTTACCTCTGGATGCAGTTGAATTCTTACTAGCAGTCTTTCATCCAAACGTTCAATTGCCCAGGACAAGCCACCGAACTTGCATAGGTCACTCGTTTATCAGCCATTAGATCTACTGGTTGTCAAAGGATGTACCCCAATAATGTAGAATATGCTTGTGCGTATCACAAGGCACTTGGATAGCCAGCAAACATAACTGCGGAGTAAATCTCGGAGAAGAAATGTCCAGCTCTTTCTCTCTCTTTCTTTTTCTCTCTCTCTTTCTCTCTCTCTCTCCTCTGCTTTGTGGAATATGAAACAAAAACATTTCACAGCATTCGCTGCTGATAAGAATTTGCTTTCCAACTCAGAAAAAGACCACTTTTGCTCTTCAACGGAAGTTTTAATGCTTGTATGTTTTATAGGGGCAAACAAAAAAACAAACATGTAAACTCTGTTGTTTCCTTGGCTTACCGTTTTATATCTAAGGCTTGATAAAAAAACGTATCCTTTAATTTGGAATAGTGCAACTTTTTGATTTCTCAACTCCAATGGGTCTTTAAAGCTATGTCTTTAAAAATATATATTGAAAATTCAGGGTTGGAACTGAGACTTAGTGTCTCAGGCTCAAGCAAACAGTGTTCTTGTGGTTTTAAACACAATGAAATATAAATTTTTATAGATTTGTAGTTTCTGGTAAAGTTCTTGTGCTAACCCCAGTCTGTAGGAACTGAGCTGTTTTGTTATCCCAAGTGGAAATTAACAGAAAGGGATAAAACTATCCTCCAGTGTAGATTTCTCTTAATTCCATTTTGTGTGTCATGTTAAACTATTGTTGTGGCTTCTTTTCTAAAGACAGAAACTGTGGAATTAAGGTGACTTAATTTTTTTATAAGAAATGTTTTATTTGTAAAAGTCCTTCTTTCACTGTAACGGGCACGTGAATATTGTGTAGGAGGAGGCGTTAGGACAGGTTACCCCTAAACAACATATACTTATACATGCTATTGGAAACAATTGTTTAAAAAAAAAAAAAATGTAGCTAGGTTTCCATTTAGGTCATCATGTCTGTTGCATGGGAGAAAGTTGGAATATTGGCCTAGAGTTGCATGATGTGTAAGATTTTGTGCATTAATCATCGTTGGATTCTGTGCTCCAAAACTGACATAGTTCTGTACAGGCAGCTCCCTGCCTGCTACAAAAGAGTTGTTTATTATTTGTTGTATACACAACCATGCACTGAATAAATTATTTATATTAAGATGTACTTTTTTAAAAAGCTGCTTTGATTATATGATGTACATCAGTGATTAATTTCAAGGGGAAGGGTTGGCAGTTAAATTCTAAAGTGATGAAAGACACTGTAATTAACGTTCAAAATCTTTTGGTGTGATGGATAATTCCCCTGTGATGCTGTACACTGTACAACTGAGAACATGCTCTTTCTTTTGGATATTGTTAGAACTGGCCTGACGTGCCCAGCCGAGATACTCAAAACATAGTGACTGTTCAGTGCCACCGAGTCTTGGCAAGGGCCCCTCTGCTGTGCAGCTGGAGGCCCCAGGAACGCTCTCCTCTGCTTCCAGCTTCTCCAGCTTCTCGGTGTCTGCCCTCCCTGTTAGACTTCCCTTAGAGCAGCCACGGATCCCTGCCTCCCAGCACACCTTCCCTGAGCCCCGGGGTCCCAAAAAGATCTGGTAAGTCAGGCACTGCTTGTGTCAGGCTGGCACCTGCAGGATGCTCAGTGTTTGCTGTGCCTCCCTGCAGGGACACTGCAGGGGCAGCTCTACCTGGTCTGGAAGAAATAGGCTGTGATGCCTCCTGCCTTTGTGGGTATGTTCTGGAGAGAAAACATCCCTCTCTCCTGCCTTTTTGAAAACATCAGCGAGAACTTTTCTCATCTACAGCATCCAGGCAGCTCTGACAGGTGAGCTTCACTCATCAAAGTGTTTCAAGAAGTCCTAGGAGGAAAAAGTTTCCATCATAGGTGGCTGGAGAAACAGTTCTGGAAGGGAATGAAGGAAAAGGAGGCAAAAAGCTACCTAGAAAAGTTATCCTGAAATTAAAACTAAGTATTCAGGTGTCTCCTCGGAGCTCCTTCCACTTGACCAACCTGGAATTTGATTTCAGACCAAGCTGGGACACTGTGGTTTGCTAGTTGTCTTTTTTTTTTTTTTTTTAAAGGTTGGTTGAGAGGAGGGAAACAGATTGTGTTTCAGATCAAAGCCCCAGATTCATTATTTTATGGCTAATAGTAGGCAGAGCTCTGACTTGCTGAGCTCCCATATATTGAAGCAGAGGCCTATTCTCTGCAAGTACCCCCATCCTACTGTCCTTCAGGGGGTCTGGGGGTCCTCAGCACACCCCTTTTCAAAGGACTATGGGAGGGAGGAGAGCACAGCCAATGCCATAGAAATCCTTAAAAATTGCAGATGTGGCAGTGATTGTTCCAAAGGCCTTGGTAACTCAGTGGGTCTGAGGCATTGGTTCCCTTCAACTAAACACGGTGTGTCTTGGGGAGCAGTTGTCCTAACTCCCCCAACACCAAACATCAAACTCATCATACTCTTGCCAGAGTCCTGATTGTAGGCCAAAGCTCATGTACAGAATGAGCTAAGTGGGGAAATCAGGGCCAGGGTTTTCCATGTAGTCTCTGGAGCCACAGCCTGGGATTCAATAAGGAGCAATAGAGTTAAATGTGCCTTGGAAAAGACAGTGAAGAGTAGGTGATATTCTGATGCAGACAGCAAAGTCCATTGGGTAGACAAGAATGTGGCTTCAGCAGAGAACCAGATTAAGGAACCAGGCTCCAGAGTATTTATTTATCCTTCAGCACCCATAAATTAGAAAGTTAAACAGCTGACTCCTGGATAATAGCTTCCTTCAAGAAACTTACTAGATGTTGGGACAATGTCTGTGTTCGTGGTTGTTTTAGCAAGAGAAACACACTGGTCAACCCACTTTCTCTGCCATAGGTGCAGTGGTGCACACCTGCAATAAGGACAAAGCCCAGGAGCTGGTATGAAGCCAAGCCCCATGCTGGCTGTGAGCCCCTAACCAGCTGCAGGAAGCTCAGGCTCCAGCTCTTCTGTTAATGCTGGTGTGGTGGCCAATGCCTTTCCTCTGCTACTGCTCGTCTCCCCTCCAGCTCTGCTGCCCACACTGCAGTGTGCCACGGGCCTGGAGGTGGCTCAGGAGGTACCAAGCCAGCACAGCAGCTTTCTGCTGCAGCTGGGCTCCATTTGGCAAAGCCCTGAGCCACAGCAGGAGCTTTGCAGAGACCTTGTGAAAGGCTGACAAATTCTACCTGCCAACCCAAACCAGGTCAACTATCCCAGTGGGAGGAAAACTGCTAGGAGCACAAATACCACAAAGCAAAAATGTTACCTTCTTTGAGATCCACCTGTCAGAGCTGCTTTCCCAGAGGTCTCTTCAGGGGGCTCAGGCATCACCTGCTTGGCCTGGTTTTGGGGTGAGGGAAGGTGGGAAGAGCTCTTCTCTATCACATCTTCTTTTCTTTTTTTTTTTTCTTTTTTTTTTTTTTTTTTGTCTTTTACCTCATGCTACCTCATAGCATGGTTGTATCTCCATAGCCACTTGCTCAGCCATGTTCATCACTGGCACGATGGAAGACAAGTCCCTACTTGGGAAAAAATATCTCCAAGTTATCCCAGGGAAGAACAGTGCCCCTTCTGCAGCACTGTCCCTACTGCTGGTTTCCAGCCCACAGGTCAGGTTTTCCAGTGGATTAAAGACAGTGCAACGAGCTCAGGGATGCTGTGGTTTGCCAGGCCATGTCCCAGCATGAGAGCTGGGTCTGGCAAAGCTCTGCTGTGTCTTGAGTATCTCTGTGTGGAGACCAGAGCCAGCTCTAATGGGGTTAAATGTCTCTCCAACATATCCGTGACCAGGACACTTTTGCAGAACAGAATCTGTACGTAACAACCTCCTATCTTCTAATAAATAATTCTCTCTAAAACAGACACCTTCTTGTCTGGGTTCTGATTTTTATCACTGCAGATGTGTAAAGGCTCTCCACCTCCAATGCACCCTTGTTTAGCTTTCCTTGGGATACTGACCTTTCTGTATTGACACTGTCATTTTCCTATGCCTTCCTGAACCAGAGCAGGGTGACTTGAGTGGTCAAGCCAAGACCATCACAGGTGGACCCTTCAGTTTACTCCATGGTGCATGGAGGACACACAAAGTGAGATGTGTTTTCCCAGTTCAGGGAAGGGCTATTCTAAATATTGGAGCTTGGTTTTCTACACCGAGTAAGACCAAGACAAAAACCACAGTGATTTTGTCTGATTTTGGCTCTGCAAAAATGATATTAAAAAAATAGTAGAAAGCCAATCTAGAATAAACTGATTTCATAGGAAAAAGCCCTGCCATGCAATTTACCCTGAATAAGACCCACTTGGAGCTTTTCTCATCTCTCTTCTGGGGAAGATGTTCTGGACAACTTAGAATTCCAATTCACAGGGTGAATTTTTAAGAAAAACTCTTCCCTGGCATGAAGGAGCAGAGCTGTGGGGTCCTGTTTTTTCCTAGCAGGTTGGCCAGCATCTGAGGTCCTTATCGTTTGGAGAACAGGTTCTTGAAACAAGCTGGGTTTGCTGGTCTATGATGGCTTTTAATGCAGATCTGCTCCTGTAGCAGAGCTTCCCTGCTTTGGGAACATGCCATGTCAGTTTGGGGCACTCAGTTACCCTGCCCTTCTGCAGCTCCTCCCATGGGGAAGTTTAAATATTAAAGAAAAAACCCAAATTTGAAACGTTTTACATCAATCAGAGAAATTGAAGTAATAAATTATTCCATCACATCAGGAACTGGAAGACAGTTTATAGGGTTCCCTTCAAAAACCATTATTAATGATTTGGAAGTTAAGATGCTTAAATACCACATGTGGAAAGTTACTTCCAAGCATCTGTAGACATATTTTTTTCCCCACGTTTGACATTTCTCACCTAAATTCAGCAACTGGAGGGGCAGGCTGAATGCTTTTGTCTTTCTCAGCATTGAACAATTTCTGTCACACTCCTTTCCTGAGCTTGTCCCCTTGGGTAGCAGGGCTAAACTGTCAGAAGGAAAATTACTCCTCTTCAGGAGTGTTTCTGGTGACAGTGGCTTCACTGCCACTCACTGAGTGTAGCACGACTCAGCTCCCACTCTGACCAGTACAGCAAAATAACATGGCACAATTCAGACTCCTCTGTCGTGGATGTCTTGAGGCCTGATCCTAATTTCAGCTGCAGAACACACCATGGACCCTGCTGAGTCTGCAGTCCCATGTTGATTTGAAGTACCTTTATCTAGACCAGCAACTCACCCTAGTGCTGGAGGACCTCAGACATTACCTCATGCTTAAATAGGTTGCAGTGCTTAATCTGTGAAATATTTTTAGATAACAAAATTAACCGGTTCAAAA